TCAAGACCGAGGGCACAGTTTTTCTCATCCGGACCGACGCTGCCGGTAAATAAGTATATTTAATATATAATATATAATATATATTAAATATTATATTAAATATATAATAATATATATTATATTATATATTTAACAAATATAAAACATTTTCCGTGTTGATATACAGTTATATCAACACGAGTGGAATTGGGAAAATGAGAAATTGCATTGAAACACGACGCCCGAAGGGCGGAGTGTTTTCATACAATTTCGAGTTTTCCCAACTTCCACGAGTGTTGATATAACTATATATGAATACGGAAGAAATGTTTTATTTTTTTTTATAATATAGCAATGTCAAAAGCCCGAAGAATAAGAAAAATTTCCGTGTTTCAAGCGGCAGAAAATTTCCCGTGTTGACATTGAGTTATATCAACACGGCTCTTAGCCAATCAGCGTTCAGAATTTACAAATGCTATATTATAAATTATATTAATATATATTATAATAATATTAATATATATTATATTAATAATAATAATTAATAATTATTAATAATTATTATTATTAATAATAATAATTTTATTATATTAATATATATTTTAATATATAATATATCATATATATATTTAATATATATATTTAATATATAAGTATATTCAAGATCAGCTACAGCTGTATGCCAAACATTAAGCAGACTATCGATGGACACAACAAATCCACGCTGTCTACAGCTTCCACCACGAATAGTCCCGACATGTGCAGTTGCCCTAAAAACAATAAAGAACTGTGACCACTGTCTGATAAATGTATCACCGAATCGGTTGTATATCAAGCCACAGTCACTACTAAGGACAAAACTACCAAACATATGTCGGCTTTACTGAAAACACGTTCAAAACAAGACTTGCGAACCATAAAGCATCATTTAACTCTTTTGACAAACGGAACGCTACTGAACTTAGCAAATATGTGTGGGAATTAAAAAATCGAAACATCCATTATACAATCAAATGGAAACTATTGAAACGAGCTAAGCCTTATAACTGCGCTTCAAATAAATGTAATTTGTGTTTATGGGAGAAATACTTTATTATTTGTAAGCCCAAAATGGCCACTTTAAGCAAACGTAATGAGTTAGTATCCGCATGTAGGCATAATAAAAAATTCCTTTTAAGTAACATTTAAAAGCTAGACATTTAAATATACCGCGGTGTGTTAATCTTTCCGCGTCCTGTCAGCTTATCATGTAACATGTTTATTAAACCGCGTGCTTTGTAAATAGGATTAAGTTTCATGTCTCATCCACTTGTACATATAACCTTGTAAGTTTTAGTCTATAGTCGGCATTAGGTCAATTTATCTGAAGAGTGCCACATACAGTGGTACGAAACTATTTAGTAATAAAGATACCTAGTGGATTTTGTTGATTTGTTGTACTCTGCTGTTATGATCTGTTGTTATGCTCTGGTTTTCCATTGAGCACTTTGCCAAAAGTTTTTATAACCAACAAAACCAAATTATATATATATATATATATATATATATATATATATATATATATATATATATATATATATATATATATATATATATATATATATATATATATTCAGTCAAGGTTTGAATGTTTGCATCTTACGTCAACTCATCGACTACTTTTTTGAATATAGTCTTCAGTATATATATATATATATATATATATATATATATATATATATATATATATATATATATATATATATATATATATATATATATATATATATATATATATATATATATATATATATATATATATATATATATATATATATATATACATTCATATTGGGATTTGTCTGTTATTCATGTAAAACGCCTTTGATCATTTAGTCATGGAAAATGCACTATAGAAGTTTTTAATTACAATTATAATTACGATATGCAAGAGACCTTGCAAACACGAGGAATTATTTACGCTATTTCAATAACGCACTTTCTCACCTCTCAAGCAAAAGAAAAGAGTTCAAAGGCAACTTTAAATGTTTTATATATGCTTGTGATCCTTCAAAACGACATACATTATTTGCGTATTGATGAACGTGAGTAGATGTAGCAAAAAATTGGAGTCTTCGGAATTAGATAAACATCAATATGCAATGATGATAACTCACCAACATTTATTTCTTTGGATGTTTAGACACAGACGAATGTGAAAATGGTCATGATTGCCACGTGAATGCTACATGTACAAATTCTGTTGGGTCGTATACTTGTACTTGCGATAACGGTTTTTCAGGAAATGGAACTATCTGTGAAGGTGTGTATGAACATTTAGACATGCAGTCACTGATCCAGGAATAAGTAATTAACACTTCTTGACTGAGATTGATGGAAACAGTATGTTTTGTGGACCGGACCTGTCACCACAGATTGTTTTTTCTGAAGGACTCTGTCACTATAAGTATTATATTATTACCAATTAGTGTCAAAGGAAGAGAAAAGAACGAAACAGAAAGAAAAAGCTCCATAATGCTTACTCCATAACGAATTTTATGACTTTCACCTCAAACGCTCTCGTCCACTTGGTATAATAATTTTCCTTGTCCAGTAATGTTTCATCGCCTACACCTCGGTACCAAGGGTTATTCCAAGTACACATGTAAAAACGCAAAACAAACCTGCAGAAACTTGTACCAATGCTATTTCAACAACTTGTTACCAGGATTTGTTCGCAGCTTCTTGACAACTTGATAAAATATTACAGACTTGTTACAAGTTTTCCCTACAACTTGTCCTGCAATTCAAAAATTTATAGGAACTTGATAAAATGGCAACTTGTTGGCAAGCTTGCACACAGCTGTTGCGAACACATCTTGTTATAGGGTTAATCTCTAGATCTTCCTGCAAGGAGATCATATGGTTAGTATATGTATTTTGTTAGGCTGTTAGACGCCTTGGCTAAACATTCTCATTGATTGGTCTTTTCGTATTGCTGTATGCACTAGAGTTGCCTTTGGCTTTTAAAAACATAAATTATTGTAACTAAGTTAATTCAGCAGCTGTAAGAGACCAGATTTTTTTAATTATGTAATAGTAGGCTATAAACTCCATGGTTGGTTTGCACTTTCAAAATCGAACACAAACTGAGAAAATCAAATTTGCTATCCATGCGAACATTTTAATTTCAATACTTAATCTTTACATTATTTAAAACAATAAATTGAATTTTAGTGACCTGGACAGGTTATTTCTAGAACGACGGTAGTATATATACTAGCCCTCATTTTTTGAAATATCCATCTCATTTTTTTTAGATCTACAGTGCTACATAGACTCGATATATTTAGCGACCGTTTCTGAAATTTATGTTATCAGTCATGGATCGAACATCACGACCTTGACAATGGCTACAAATGCGAAATTGGAATATGACAGACTAACTAAAAGAATGCTGTATTTTACTGACGATGGCAATACATTATACACCATGAAATTGGATGGGTCTAATGAAACAGTAATTTCATCTGGTATTCAAATGGATGCTTTTACCATTGATTATACATCGCGATTTATTTACTACGTCGGCCCAGTAGATACCGATTTGAAAGGATTTCCATTGTCGGACAGCTCAAATATTTCCGATCTAATTCTTAATGTAGGCAGCGTCAACGATCTTGATTTTGATGGAATGTCTCGGTAAGTTTTTAGCCTCGAGTACAATAGTTTTAGTTGTACAAATGATTTTAAGTCCGAATAACACAATATATATTGATACCTTGTTGTAAATGTTTACGCAAAGCTACAATCAGTGACAAAATACTTGGACCGGTAAGGCTGGGATTGTGACATAATCCTCCTCCCCCCTGTTCAATGTTATTAGACTAAAATTGGCATTTTATTTGAAGTAGTTTTTATGCTGTATTGCTTTGCTGATAACTCTCCCAGAACACACAAAAACATTGAAATGGAGGAGGGGGGTTTCACATGTTGTTTTGCAATTGTTTATACAAAAATAACCTTCCAATTTGAGTGTCCCATCTTTCAATGTCAATTGTAGACTCCTTTCTCACTAGACCTGATGCGATAGTTGAAGATTTTTGGCTGTATCTCACTAGTACTTTAATGATCTTTGCCGCATACTTGAGCTTATCCTCCACCTAGCATCTGTGCTAAAAGCGGGTTTCTTATTGGTTCCAAGCAGGTCAGTTTTTTCGAACTCGCCTACCCTTAGCCAAATTCACCTTTACGTTACTGTCAGCGTCAATAACAATGGCCGACAACATTTAGTCGATAAACTCTGTGACTAACCTACTGAGACTGAAGAAAAAAAAAACAAAGAAAAAATCAAAGGCCTTTGCAACCTCGCAAGCCAGAGTCTTTACTTCCGCACGGCGCTGTAGCGAGGCCGACTCACGGATGAGATCAAATGAAAATGAGAGAAATAATTAGAGCAGTTTGCAGTTGCTTTTGAAAACGGGTACCTTGCGAATTTTGCCATTTGTCGTTCTTCTTTCGCCAAACCAAAGAAACGTACGCGTGCTCCTGCCCGTTTTCCGGTTCTGAAAGGCCCGATTCACAGTCAAACACTGTGCGCAAAGCAGGTTGCTCATTTCCCATTGTTTAACTGTTGCTTCGCAACATCCGTGAGTCAATTATGAAAAAAAGGTGATCTAGACGTAGATAAAGTAGTATTAACAAGAGCCCAATGATTTTTTGGCCTAAAAATGTTGACAAAATATTGAGGAACATATCGCAAAGAGCTAGTGTAGCAAAACAAGACACGAAGATTAAGTGTAGGGGATAAAAACCAAACGTACTTGCACATTGGATGCGTCCTGGATTGACGCATCTTGGGGGACTTGTAGCTCTCCGAACGTAACTCGCTCTGTAGGTTTCGCAGAGCTACCAGCCCCCCTCGGTGCGTCAATCCCAGACGCACCTCCCTTAGTACTTAAGTATACATTGAGCATGTGTACTTTTACGTATACTTTTACTTGTATATTTTTGTGTACGTGTACTTAGTATGTGTACTTTTAGCATGTAGCCGCCGGAGGTCTAGGGGAATAGGCCACCGGAGGGAAGAATTGAAGAAAACCGGTAGGTGTAAAGAAATAACAAGAAGGAGGAAAATCCCCTCCCGTCGCCAAGATTTCTGGGATAGCTTTCTATATGTTGGACAAGTTATGGCAGTTAGCCGTCTCGCAAAATAAAAACTGTTCCGCGGCAAATGTTTTTAAGATAAGGTATATAAAGCACAGTTTTCTAAAAAGTATTCATTCAGTTACCTGAAAGTACGAGTGAGAAAACAAGCACAATGCACACTGATACAATTGACAACCAGTAATTGCTGATTGCCATCTCATCCCATTAATCCAATCATGTTTGAACCAAGACTTGTCGCATTTCTGCATACAACTACTTAAAAAACAAAGACGTGAAGAACGTAATATTGGCGTACCTTTGGCACATAAGTTCGTGAATCATTGCACCCTGGAACAAGTGCCCTACACTAATAATTCGTTTGGTTTGAGAGGAAGAAGTTTATTAAGATCTTCCTCTTCAATTCACAAAGAAAAATATGTATCCCTATCAGGTTTATCAAACCTGTTACCATTTTGACTATATGTAGTGTTCAAACTTTGTATTCAGTTAATCAGTTGACAATATTTTCTCGCGCTGTGGAAGATGTTACCAGCTTAACTCGTCGCCAGTATTTACAACTTTCATTTTTGTTTTTGCAGCTTTCTATTCTTTTCCAACACGGACAACTATGGCAATATCGGTCAATACAATTTCACCTCAGAAACAGCGTCCGAATTCGTTCCAGATGGTCAATTTCCTGGAGATGTTAGCGTGGACGACACTGAACAAGTGGTTTACTGGACGAATTTCTTAAGCTCGACCAATTATGCAGTTGAGAAGACATACTACAACAAGACAACAGTTCGATTGAAAGTCTTTAATGGACCAATATCTGCTATTAGACTCGCACAAGGAGAAAGATACTTGTATGTTCTCAACCCAACCCATTCTCAGTTGGAAGTGATTGATAAAGGAACGGAAGAAGTTGTGGTAACGTACACCGTGAAGTCTGGAACAAGTGCAGTTGGAGCTGCTGAGGGTAAGTTCCGTGCCGGATTACCAAGTGGGCTGAATAAGCTGGTATATATAGGGTCTCTCAAAAAAACGCTGTGGAAAT